TTCCTCAAAAATTTTGGTTGAATTTGAACAAACTAAACAGCATTATATCCCAGAAGATAGGACTCTTCCTTACTTACTAGGAAGAAACAAAAAAATATTCCACCCATAATTGGATTCTGCACCTTGTGTGGAAGACTACAGTGTGCATTAGTTTCTGTAGTCTGCATAATAAAGTTCTATAAAAATGGAAGTTGCATTCATTTCACTTATTACAAAATTGAATAAATCTCATAATGATCTTAATAAGAGCGCCATCCAGTGTAACATATATGAGGCAACTAATTTTGGTGCTTTTATATGTTTCAAGCTCTTATGGGTCATGTTCAGAAGGAATACTTTAAAATGATGTGATTTAAAATTGCTCTAGAATTACAAGTTATAGCAGTTTTGTCCGAAACATGAACCAATATAAAAAAAAATTCAGAAACAAATCGAAGACAACATAAAAACATGTATTGCCCTACTAAATTTAAAAGATAGAAAAACAATTTTACAGATGAATCCCAAAATATAAATACATAAACCAAACACCCTAATTAGACAAATAATTAATAATACACATACATACACCATGATACAAACTATCAAAAATTATAAATAGAAGATTAAAGCTCTAATACCACCTAAAAGTAATTCAACATCATAAACTCAATGAAATTAGTTCATGATATTAACAAACTCAAACTCAAACTCAAACTTGGTCTTGAACATAAATTTCACATACTAGACATTCTTATTTTTATATGTTCCAACAGAAGAAATATTAAATATTGTAAGCAAACAATTCCAGAACAATAAAATAACACTATTTTCAATATGACTCTAACTTCTACAAACTGAAAACAGGCAGAGAAATGGGAACCCCAAAATCATGAATCATAGCAGAATTTTTTATCTCCATCTACAAAACCAACTAATAAAATACAATATAAAAACTAAAACAGCAGTACACAATGAACACCACATAGACAACAGTGTTCCATTAAAAAATGAAAATAAAATTACAGCAATAAAAACACTAGAAAATTTCAACAAAAAATATGAAAACATAAAATTTACTATGAAACAAAAAAAAATCAACTAGCATTCATTCTATCATTCATTCATTTATTTGCATTCTGTTAATCCATACAAGGTCAAACCAACCTATGGGATATAGAACCTGTCAAGATACAAATATAATATAAACATAAAATAATGATATATACATACATTCATAATGAGCACAATAAGGACATAAAGTAAAACACAGTATTGCATAACAGCAGTGTCACAAAACACATTTTGATCAAAGACACAAAGCAAAACACAGTATTGCACAACAGTGTCACAAAACACAGTTTGAACAAATACACAAGATAATAGTGAAGACAATGAAACATGAGTGAATTGAACTTACAGTGGGAAGACCTCCACAACTAATCAAAATGTACAAAGGGCAAGAAATATAAAAAGAACCATATTCATTAGGAAGTTAATTGGTAATATTCATCAATACTATAGAATGCATGTTCTGTAAGGTAGGTTTTTAATGAAGATTTGAAATGCTTAATATCTTTAGATAGCATTTTAATATTTAGTGGTAAGTGGTTATAAATCTTACTTCCAGAAAAGAGTACTCCTTTCTGTACAGATGATAGATTTGTAGAAGGCAAGTGTAAATTGTGGTTGTAACGAGTATTAATATCATGAATATCAGAATTAGATATAAAGCAACTTCTGTTCTTGATGACAAAGACAAGTAGTGAGAATATGTATTGAGACTGAAGTGGCAATATTTGTAATTTTTTAAATAATTCACGGCATGAGTCGTATCTACCTGAACTAGTAATAACTCTTATTATTCTTTTTTGAATTTTAAGAATACTGTCACTGAGATAAGAATTACCCCAGAAGATAATACCGTAAGATAGAATAGTGTGTGCATAGGAATAATAGATCGACTTCATTAAGTCTAAAGACATAAATGGTTTTATAGCATATCTGGACATGAATATATCCTACTGACAAGGCTACACAGGAATAGACATATGCCACAAACCATCAACAAGACACCATAACAACCACTCATGTCACCAAGGAGAACATAAAATTTAATTCATGGATTATATAACTTCCCCTAAATGGAGCCAATAAAACAAAAGCACTTATTACCATCATCACCCTGGCAGAATACAATGGATATAAGAAACAGACAAAAACAACTGTACCAACACATAAAAAACAAAAAGCCAAAAGAAACATACAAAACCAAACCTGTGTTTACAAACACAGGTAACTACACATACAATCATTAAAGTATTCAAGAGCACAGGATTAAAACTGCGTTTAAAACAGTCAATACAATCAAAAACATATTAAATCTAAGAGCAAAAACAGAAAATTATGAAAGCATGGGTATATACTGATTTAAGTATGCAGAATGCAAGAAAATCCTACAACAGACAAGTGGGAAGATCATTAAAGACCATATGCAAAGAACATATAAGTACCAGGAATAACAAAGAAGAAACAGCATTTGCTATATATAAATTTTAATAAGAGACACAAATATAGAAAATGGAGAAAATCATGGATATAGTAGATAATGCCAAGAAGGGCCAAATAATGAATACTAAAGACACTGTCTATATTTGCATATACAAAAAATTACAATTTTAATAGACGAATGACCTACCTGACACAGTTATCACATATGCTTGTGCCACAAAATACATAAAACACGAAACAAACCAAACTCATAACCAGTCATACAACCACAATGTAACACATGGAACACAGACTCTATACACAGCAAAGATAACAGGTCGGAAACTTCATTATAATTAGCCATTTAACAAAACTCACATAAAAATAATCAGATAATGAAATTCCAAGTTATAATTGCAGAAATACTATTGGCAACCATTTGTAACCTTGGCACATACTACAACAGAAACACAGATAAAAACAAGGAACAAGAAAGTACAATAATGGTCATACCTCATATTTTATGATTCCATGTAGTTTTATAATATTAGGCAAAACTATTGTATATTACAATTTTAAAGTATTTCCTTTGAATGCATGCCTTCTGAAGATGGCCCACATGGGCTGAAAAATATAAAGGCAGTAGTAAAAGTAAGAAAAAGTGAAGCTATCCCTGTAAGAGGCCATGAAAGCCCATAGGGTTGTGAGATGTTGAGAGCCCCACATTATCTAGACAATCAGCTCAAAGAGGGCAGTAAGGCTGTCAGCCTTATGCGCCAGCCACGCTTTACTGCCCAGGAAACTTATTTAAATATAATGGCAGTAACACAAATTATTTCATATATGTTAGATTGGATGCTACTCTTTATTACATTCTTTATTAATATGAGTGTAATGGTTAAGGTGGCCGGTCACAGTAGCCGAGCAGTCTAAGGCATGCACAGTCTTCACTCGCTCAGAAGTCAGGATCATGGGTTCGAATCCCACACAAGGCATGGATGCTTGGTGTGTATATGCGTTTATTCTGTGTTTGTGTTGTTCTGTGTTCAGGTAGAGGCCTTGCGATGAGCTGATCACCTGTCCAAGGAGTCCTACTGTCTGTGAAAACAATCAATGAAACTGATAAATCAGCCCTATGCTCCAAAGTGGGAGCAAAGAGGAAGAAAAAAATGGTTAAGGTATCACACATCAAAACGGAATAGCTGTTTAATATTTTTCCCACAGACAAAAGTATTTCAGCATTACACCTACAAAATGAAAATCTCAAATAGACAGCATTTAACAATGACAACAATAAATATGAGAAAACTTTGAATAAAAAAACTTTATATTGGGTTCCAGCATACTATAATGTGTGACTACACACGGGGTTTAGATTGATAATAGAATTTACTGAATGCTTACAAATTCATAACCACAAATAATTATAATGCTTTCACTAATCTACAAACTCCACAAATCAATAGTGCAAACACTAAGTCTTCTATGTAGGCACAATGGATTACCGTAGTCGCGGTGCAAGGGCCAATAAGGCCCACCCCTTATACATTCAAGTTTTCTATGTCTTCATGAGTCATTGTTTGGCAGAGGTGTCTAACGATGTAACTCAAGACTGTAACCTCTGACTCCAAACTCCAATATAGGACTGTCAAATTCCAACTCATGACTGTCTACCTTTTCCCAATGGTCCTCATTGGACAGCCTTGGCACAAACTGAATAGAAAACAACACTTACAACAGTACCTCTACTGCTGCATGTTTACTGTGCAGCTGCCTACCAATAGCTGCCTTTATTCATTCCACTATTCTAGCTTTCAGGTATCATGTCACAATATTAAGCACATATATTGCAAACTACGAGTATTTTGCACTCTGTTAAAGAATGAAATGCCAAGTTTATTCGTGCAGTTAGGAACACAGCACAGTTCACTGTATGAATTAAAACAAACATTTTGCACCTTACCAGCATTCCACCAGAAGGCAAGAAGCACCAGCCCATGAAATGTTGGAAATCTTCTGACCTAGGTAGATCAGGATGTAAGTCACTCTGCTGTCAGTTAGAAGCGAAACTGTAGCCATGAGTTTATGAACCACAGTTGGACAGGCAAGCAATCACCTACTATCATCTTGTCTTAGCAAGTCACACTGCTGTCAGTGAGAAGCAAAACTGCAGTCATGGGTTTATGAACCACAGTTGGACAGGCAAGCAGCCACCTACTGTGATCTTGTCTTCTTAGCTTAAGGCAGGAACAACAGCCACACAGGAGAACCCTTAGTGTTACAATGTCTGACCTAAAGGTAGGGTAATCACAACAAACCAAATTGCTCTTACAGAAACTTTTCACCAAGAACAAAACAAAGCTTGAGGTGCTGTCATCTGCATGCAGAGCCATTAAGGAAAAGAAAATTAAATATAAGTGGTTAAGTGCAGTTTACTGACAGAAGCTCCAATGGTTGATTAGCTTAGAGGAGGGAATGTAGTTTCGGCCATATATATCATGAGTCACGTGCTGCTTCTGTTGTAGCCTTACCAGGTGAGGTGAGCCAGATTCTGACCACCTCCGTATGGAATTCTTATTATCTTCACTGTTGGAACCAATGGATCTGCAGTTCCAGTCACATTCGCTTCCACCACAGAATGGGACTTCACTCTTAGCCCTGGATCGCAATGTGTTCTTGAACCCTTCAAAAAGGTTTAATCTGTTTTTTGTGGGGCTGTGCATTCGAGCACTTGCACCCATTATACAAGCTTCTGGGGATCTGTCACTGGAGTAACAGTGGTTGCGCTGTGTTGGTGTGATCAGAGGGATAGCATCAGGAAGCGTAGATAATGTTGAAGTAGTGTTGCTAGAGCAAGGAATGGTGCTAGCTTTGTGTAATCGCCCGTTCACCTTGTCAACACCCGCTGAAGTGTCATGCTCTGTCTGGGGTGCTGGTTGTGACATAGTCTTCCTCAGCGAGGGATTCCACATTGTACTGAACTCAGGGGCTGAGCTGAGATAGAAATGAATGCATCAGAAAACAAAAATAAATCAAAACAAACACTGAAGCAGTACCATGCAACACTCTGTCCCAACTACCACATGAACAAAATGGAAGATGAGGCTTGGTTGAACACAGATTTGAAGCAGGCTAGTCAAATTACAAAGCACACATAAAGGTTGCAAAAATAAATGTGTGTATAAATGACAAGTAATCAAAACGAAAATAGGGCATCAAAAGAGCAGAAGAAATAGACTATGTACAGAATGCATTGAACCTCTGTGGGACACTAGTAATATGCTATAAATACACCTATTGTTTCACAATGCCAGGGGTATTGGTGCTGAACTATGAAAGAACTATAGGAGTACCCTCTATCAGGGAATGAAGGATATAACTTTACATGAAAGGAACAATCTCATTATTTCAGTAGTTTTTAATTCTATTGAAAATGTTTTGTATTTATTATGTACAAACATACATTTTTATGTACACCACAATATTCTCACTGTCTTTTTATGCCAAGTAAGGGGGAGTTTAGGAAATGGATTGAGGTGCATACTATTAGCTTTTATTTTTCTCCCACCTGAACTTGTTTGGTCCAAAACAGAAAATCTTTAAAACAGTTTTCGTTGGTGGTTTATTGGCAATGCAGTAATTAAACAACATGTTTTAAAATATTACAAGCATTCTTATTTTGATGTTATTCTTTTGCTCTTTCATACAGATGGACTGGATTCAAAGAAAAGGAATAATATTTATTATGCTTATGTTCTTTAAGAGAGAGCATTAAGTAAAAATGAGATTCATACCCGTGAAAATGTTATCTCTCAAGGGCAAGACTGATTTGTCACAGCCCTTCCTAACAACAGTTTCCTGCAAGGCCATACTACCACCACTAGCAAAACAGGACAAGAATTTCTGGATCCCCGCATTCACACAGAATTGCCACTTTATTTTCCCCTCACTTTCCAGTGTAAGAAAGATCACATGAAGTAAAATCTACATTAATAAGAATTTATTGCATGTTAAAATTTTCCAGGAGCTTATTGTCTTTATGTTGGCAGCTAGTGTGTCACTAGGAAGGCAGTCCAAAAATAATATCTTTCTTAGTTTTACTAAAGCCCTACATTTTGCCTTTTAGGATAACAAGTGACACATAAAATAAGACTGCCACTAAACCATATATAGATAAGATGCATACACATTATTAGAAACATTCAGTGAACCTGGCAAGTGTGCTTGGAAGTATGCAAGTAACCATACCAATGATAAATAAAACTGTTCTATTTTTGTTAAGTCATTTTGAGCAACCAAGTTTTCTTGCACTGGAAAGCTTGCATTTGTTCCAACTCACTGTATATTGAATAACAAAAACTGATCAAAACATAAAAATTAACAAGCATATGAAGATCACTATATATCACATATAGCCTATCATCAATTAAAGCAGTTCAGTATCTGTACATTACAGTCTCGCTTCAGAATTCTATAAAGCTCCACAAGCATTCTCATAGGAAAATCACTGCATCCTTTGCATACAATTTCCCAAAATTATACTATACCACTGCTTCATAATAGAAGCAAATTTGGAGGAACTCATAACACTGTATTTAAAATAAAAGCTAGTTTTTTATAAAAAAATACATCACAGAAATAGACCTTCTAGTGTCACAAAAATGTAAGCTACAAAATTTTACTGATAGGCTCAGTATGAAAGCTGGCATATCAGACATCCTAAAATGTAGCAGTGAGAAGGCCTTGATCCAGGAAACCCTTGCCCCAAACAATTCATATGCACTGGTCATCATCTGACTCGAAGTCCATAAAGTTGGCTTTAGAAAATCTCCACAGAAGGCTGAAGCCTTTTGTTCATGGTAAGGCCTGAAACACTGTTTGTACTTAATGACCTCCAGTTCCAGACCACCACCATCACCATCACAGTCACAGTCACAGTCACTGTCACTGTCACCATCCACACTGCCAGTAACCAATGGCTGTGTCTCTTGGATACTTACAACTCTTTCGTGAGCTCTCCCTTTTGGTATGCAATAGGTGACTGGATGGCCTTCAGGAAGTCTTTCTGCTTCTGTAGAATTGATCTAATGGTGGATACCCACTCATCACGATTTTCTTTGGATGATGGCTGACATATATATCCAAGATTTGGCTTGCGAGGATCAGTTGAACGGATCGCGAACTTACAGGGATCACCTTCATCAACATGCTCATCCAGACTCATCTTGTTAGCCTAAAGTCCAAAGAGATAATTCTGATAACCTTAAGATACAGAAGTTATAGCAATGTAGACCTACTACAAGCAAATTAACATGTGCTTTGTTATAATAATTTTCTTGAACAGTTACACTTTAAAACATAAGAATAAAAAGTTAAGTTCCAACAGGTATAACAATTTTTAATATGAATAAAACCTTTACATGTTTCAACCAATATCAGCCATCATCAGAAGGCAACCAACATTTCAAAGGAAATGTCTTGTGTGGTGGGCCATCTGCATGGTGTGTTGTATGTGTGTTCCAATCGGGTATGTCTTCTGTGGTAGACCATGTGCACATGCTTTAAGTGTGTGTTCTGATGTGATGTGTTACACTTCACTACAACACATCACATACCATGACTCCACCAGATTGTAGGCATAAAACACCATACAGATGACCTCCCATACAAGAAAATTACATACCAATGATAAAGAAATATGAAGGTCACCGGGGTCTATTCAAACAAACAGCAAGATTTTAAATTAATTTAAACAGATACTGCTTGCTCATTAACACAACTTGTTTTAAACATTTTTGAGACAACATGCACATGTCATACTTGTAAAGTATTTCCAGTGAAGTGTTGGTTACCTTCTGATGATGGCCAATACTGGCCAAAATATGTAAAGGATTCATTCATATTAAAAATTGCTCCACGTGGCAAGACTTACTCTTTAGTCATATAATGTGTTCAGATACTTCAGTCCACTGAAGATTTGTAGAGAATACCAAAATATGACTTTCTATTTAACTAATTATAGTAGCAGCAAGGTTCAAAGTAAACTACTATTTATGTAACATCTACATTATGCGTTTGTTTACTCACATATGCAATTGCATGCTTCATGAATCAAAATGTCATAACCGTAGTCTCATTGATATGCACTAAAATACCATATGCTGTAGTTCACTGAAATCAAATAAAATATATTAAATTTTTTTTCTTTAAATTTTGTAAAATTCTTATTACACCTCACAAGGGGCATCACCCACTTGTTGTGATGAATGGATAATATTAATGCAGTGTAGCAGTTTTAGCATAGTAAGACACCTGAAGATGGCCATTTAGAGCTGAAACATGTAGTGTCGAGAAAGTGAAAGAAAGATGGAACAATTTGTTGCATTATTGACAGACTTTGTAGTAAATAAACAGTTTTAGGTAAAATATACTCACTGAAATTTCAACAGAAAAATTACAAATACCTGACATATATTACAGTCTTACAGTTCATTTCTAAACAAGACACGTCATACTATAGACAGACAGACAGACAGACAGACAGAGTTTTTGCAAGAGACAATCTGCTACAGACTTAATGCCATTCATGTGTGAAAACAAAAATTAATAGGGTCAATATCTGGTTCCTGCGAAAGTTCATGTTTATATTTTTGCAAGACAGATGCCTTAGAACACAATATAAAATTTGACAGTATGGTTCTACCTAGCACAGTATACATAAACACACACAATGCTTAATGCTTATTAAGTTATTTGCATGTTACCTGGCACTTCCTCCAAGAGTAGCACTTGGTATGTGGAATAAGGAGTATCTTACTAAAGACAGTATTATCACATATATTTGATAAGACTAAGTAATAAAACCTGAGGACCATTCACGCTTCTATTTAAGATGAATACATTTACTTATTTTTGTACCGAATATACCCTGCTTCTTTTTTTGATATACTTCTCACAGGAACTTCTAAATTATACCTACATAAATAATCTCTAGGACCAACCTGAATATGAGCCTTATGAATATAAACAGGGTTGGTGAACTGAGTTTTCTTTCCTACAGCCTCACTAAAGATGATATTTTGCTCAAAAAGGAACACCTGCAATTCTTTGCCCTTGAAATTAGAGCCTGCAGATTCTTCACAGCACACAAGTGGTCCATGAAGTAGCAAGTTCCCTTGTGCAGTTATTTTCCCCTAAGGAAAAAAAAAAATATTACTTATGGCTAAATCCAGTTCTAAATACCTGAAAAAGACTTTAACCTTCATTGAGAATGTACAAGGTGCTATCGGAAAGTTCCAGGGCTAGGTCAAAAAAGAAATTCTGGCTTAACTTACTCAATTTTGGCTGCCACCTCCTTCAAAATAGTCTCATTGGGATAGTATACAGGGAACCCAGCATTTTTCCCATGGTTCAATAGCACTGTGGGAGCCATGCTGTCGAGTGCCGCCTGCGATTCCCTTTGGATGTCAGACATTGTTTCAAAACATCGTCCCTTCAGTTTCATTTTCAATTTGGGAAACAAAGGAAATCACAGGGTGATAAGTCTGGCAAGGAGGGAGGATGGGGAATAATAACCATGTTGTTGTTAGTCACAAACTCTGTGGTTTTTAGGGATGGGTGGGCAGGTGCATTGTCATGATGAAGGGGCCAGCTGTAGTTGTGCCAAACTTCAAGTCTTTTTCATTGCACATTTTCTGTCAAGCATCTCAAAACATTACAGTAAAAGTCAGATTTGACCATAGTGTTAGGAGGAACAAATTCACAGTCAACAATCCCCTTCATGTTAATGAGCACACTCTTTGTTGAACTCTGGACTTGTCACGCCTTTTTTGTTCTTGGTGATTGTAGGCTCTTCCACTGCAAAGGCTGTTGCTTCATTTCTGGATCATACGAGTAAATCCAACTTCCGTAAACCCACCGTGATCCTAGAGATACGAGGATTGGAACTTGAATAGTGGCAACACTGCTGTAGAGATGCCATGCAAGGGAACCGAATAATGTCACTTATACCACATGTTAGTTACATACCTACTTTACTTCAGAGCAAATGGACTCTCCCTTCCCACATCATGTGCATGTGCAGTGACAAGAAGAACAGAGCCTCTTGTTAGCTGGTGGTCTAATAAAGTGTTGTCCCGATGTTTTCGAAACAAGAACAACGGAGTTGGATAAAGACTGAATGTGCCAAAGGCCGTACAGCATGACTGTCATCAAGGTCTTCAAGAGGCTTGCGGGGATCTGCATTGCCTTACTGAACAGTGGCAAGGTGGGTAAAAGCCTTCAACGAGGGACGCCAAAATGTGGCAGACATGTGTCGGCCAGGGTGTCCTAGTGTCAGTGAAGAAGTGTATGCTCTTTCCGCGTTACTGGAGAGTGATCGATGCCATACGATTCATGAGCTGGCCTGAGAGACAGGATTGGCACATATGACTGTGCTTCACATTCTGAAGGAATGCCTGGGCATGAGAAAAATTGCATCATGATGGGTTCAGCATGATTTGATGGAAATGCAGAAATGGCTATGATACGATGCTGCTTGTAACCACTTGGAGCACTATGAGCGCAAAGGAGAGGCTTTCTTACACCATATCATTATGCTGAATAACACATGGGCCAAATCTTACGAGCCACAAATGAAACGCCAATCAAACGAATGGCGTCATTATGGGTCACCACAAAAATAAAAAATTCATCAAAAACCCAGCAATGAGAAAGTTGTGGTGATTCTCGTGTACGACTGTGATGGTGTTATCGTAACGCATACTGTTCCCTGACAGCAGACAGTCAGTGCACAGTATTACTGTTCATTTTTGGAACACAACCTGCGACCAGCTTTGGGAAAGAAGCGACGACACTTCCTGCAGAACCCACCCACCATTTTGCAGGACAATGCTCAGCTGCATGCAGTGCAAACTGTGGCTGATTTGTTCAATTGATGGGGCTGGAAGTGCTGTACCATCCACCATACTCCCCGGACTTAAGCCTTTGTGACTTCAACTTAATTCCTAAGATGAAGGAACCATTTTGTGGCATTCGTTTCAGAATTGTTCCAGAGATTCTTCAGGCAGTAGACTGCTCCATTCGAATTATCAACACAACAGGCGCTGCTAAAGGTATCCTACAACTTCCACATTGCTGGCAACAGGTTGTATACAGTGCTGGTGACTACACTGAAGAACAGTAAAACTTCAAAACATGCATCTGTTTTGTATCAGTTGTAAATAAATATTTGCCACTATTGAAGCTCCAACGCTCGTATAAATTGGGTCCTCATTAGCCTTCTCTCATAGCACAAGACCCATGTTTATGCACCACTACTTTTGATCATTTGTCAAGAGTCGGGTAACAAAACTTCACGGCAATGTGGTGCATGTTCAAATTGTCTAAGATCTCCTGGCAAACTCCATAACTGAGCCCAACAGTGTGTGTGAGCTCATGGAATATTTTACAGCAGTTTTCATGGATGAGTTCTCAAATTTTTTCAACATTTTCTGTTATTCTGCTGGTGCTTGGTCACCCTGAACATGTGTCATCTTCAACTGACACTCGACCCACCTTGAAACGATAATACCATTCAAAAATCCCTCATGCAGATTTACGGAGCTTCATGCAAAACCCGATGCAGATACATTACTTGATTCTGCCATTCATCGCAGAAAAAACGAAACACGAAGCACTCATGTAAAAACTATGTATGATCACAGCATGGTATCACATTGAGACTGATGCAACAGGCTTGCAGAAGTGTAACCTTGGCCTCCCCTCTCATTTTCTTCCACTGAGGCAATTACAACAATAACAGTCTGGGAACTTACTGATACACCTCGTATTAGCTACTGCAACATTGTATGCATAGCCCTGTAGGCCAAGCAATGCAACACTGCAAATTTCTTTTCGGAAATTTATAATTTTTTGCAAACAACCGTTTTTGTAATAGTAAGGGAAAAAAACTATATAATTTGGGAATGTATTTTCCTTCAAATACTACTACTACTACTACAGTATTTTAATGGAAACAGTTCCAGAGTTGTACAGTGAAACTCTCTGATTCCATACTTCTTAAGGAAGCACCTAATAAAAAGTATAAAATTAAGGACAGTGTAAAATCAAGGAAACTGGAATTATAAAATGTGTAGAAATTTCGAGTTTCTTCCTACCATAACTTTGGATGGTCATTTTGAAAATACATGTTTCAATATTTGTGTATATGTACATGCACACATGGTTCTTGATTTATTTTATGATGCTCTATCAACTGCTGTTTTATGTGGCATCAGTAAGGTGAGATGGTGATTATAACTGAAGAATGGAAAGGATAAGGAAGAAACTGCTCATAGTCTATTTAAAGACACTATCGCAGCATTTGCCTGGATACACTGGCAAATATAGTATGTACTTAGTTACATTATTTTCTTAACCCGTTGCCGTGGTTCGTCGTGTATGTTTCGTCAGGGATTTAAATCGTCTGGGGGGGTTCGACGTGTATGTTTCGTCCAGCTGCACACGTATGTTATAACGCCCATAATAATTGATGGTTTTGCTGTAGATTGTTAGATTTTTCACTGGCCTGTTGTCAGGAGGACTGTATTTAATGACACACGCGTTTAAGAGCGCTAAGTCGTCGTTACATATGCCTGTCTTGCAGCAACGTTCCTGTGGCTATTGCGAGCTGTT